AGGAATTTAGTGCTGAGGAGTGACTTATAAAGTTGGAGTGTTATGAAGACATAGGTCCCAAATGAAAACCCACACCACTTGGGAAGATGATGTAGCTGGTAGTCCAAGACGGCAGCTAATATTTTCCCCATCAGCAACTTCCAAAGTTGCTGTAGGGACAGTACAAGATAGAAGTGAGGAGAGAAGGCATCCAGTAGGTGCCGAAGAAAGCAGTATTTACTATGGCAGTATGTGAGACCCACTGCCCCAGAGTCACCTAGCCCAGATCATTGGAGCAAGGTGATCTGAGCTTGGATATCAGGCCCTTCCAACAAAGGAAAGATCCAACACATGTACACGTGGTCCTCTGCTCAAATCATGGTAAAGTAAGAAAGATGAACCTTGACAGGGCCCTCCCAAATCAGAGAGGGAGAAAGAGAGAGACAGAAGTAAGTGGGTTCCAAGCTGCCATCCTCCTATCCTTGATAGTCTTCACCAAGCAGATCCAAGTACAGTAGGATTGTGTCACTCTCGTCCCCTCAGAAAGATGGGAGTTAGAACCTAAATGCATTTGAGGCACCTAAATAACTCAAAGGACTAAGTACCTCATTTCTGGGCAAGTCTGAGGATCTTTGGTACCAGACCAGAGGAGCCATAACTTAAAACTGGTCTATGGTAATCCCTCTTTGCAGGCAAGAGAAAAATCCAACTGGGGGTATTTCCTTACAAGTTGCTCACCAACCACCAACTTTCCCTTTCTGCTGGTTGTCAGAATGCCACACGCAGACATTGGGCTGCCTTTTCTGTATCATTTGCATTTGCTCTCCCCCTAGGCAGCAAACCCCCATCCTATGCGTGTCACTCCACCAGTACCCAAGGCTCACATTTTCCATCATTCAGTATCACATGCTTACTCTGAAATTCAGTATTGCTAGGCTCCAAGTGGGAATAACTAGGTGAAAGCAAGTTGTCTATGCTGCATGTGGGCACCATGAGATGATCTCATGGACTTTTCAGACCTAAAAGCTTTCTCCATATAGAAACAATAGAACTGGTCTGAAACTTCTCTTCCTCCACACTGTCTCATGCTACTGGCTCTGGAAGTGCCATGTTCCACTGACAGGGAATGAATATGGCATGCCATGGGCTGGCAGAGAGAAGGGGACAGATGAACAGATTGGTGTAAGAACCACTTCTGTTTGTAGCACAACCACTGTCATGTGGCAGTATATGTGAAGGCGACAAATCTTGTGCCACTTTAAGAGCTAACACATTATAAAAGCAATACAATTAGCAGATTCCAGTGGGAACAAGGAAGTTACCTAGAAGAGTGATAAATATGGGAGTTTGTTGCAGCTCATTAGCAATTTACAAAATGCTTCCATAGAAGCTTTTGAAGGGCCTTAAAAAGTGTTTAATAACATTATTGAAACCTGCAAAGTATACATATAAAAAACCCAAAAAAACCCCATCAGCAGATTAATAAGCAGAGTCAGGAAGACTGTGGCTAAGTCTGAAATATGAGATAGCTGCTGTTTTACCTACGGCAGCAGCACTCAGGCAGCCAGGCTCCCTGGAATGGGTGCAGCTCCATTGACAGGAGTCATCGCCCTTCAGGACTACATCAGCTTTACTGGCAGAGCTACTTCCACACGGAGTTCTGCTAGTAAAGCTACATTAGTTCTTGATCAAGCAAGTGAACTTTTCACATCCTTCGCCCTGGCGTTGGAGCCAAGTTCTAAGTTTTTCCTAGATCAGCAAGTCATACCACCAGTCCTTCTAATATTAGAAAAAAGAACCTACTACACACAAACACACATGCACACAACACTTGCCTTAGGTTTGAAGCCCATAACTCGGTTGAGCTTGATAATGAGGCATGGCTTGCCATCCTTGTACCCATAGGTGGGGTCGTGTAATCCAGAGCAGTTCCCCAGCCAGTCGCGTTTGAATTTGCAGACATTCTTCCGACCTTGACCTTCCTTATATTCTCCTCTGTCTTTGTATGAAGAGGGTACATCTACCAGGGCAAGAAAGAAAAAAAGGTGT